TTCTCTTGTGATAAACTTTGCTATTATTTCCATTCATTTCAATTATACAATTGCTCTTTTCCGTTTCAGTAATTAGCCCAATTTTCAAAAATATTTATAACATCTCCTTCTCATGAACTGATGATAGATTCTGAATAATTGTACTCTTTTCTGGAGTTTTGGATTCTTTTCCTTGCAAAAAAGAAAATCATCGAATGATTTTAACAATTAATTTGTGAAAATCTGTCAAGGAATTTCTCTTTGCAAAATCATTTCGAAAGTACTGAACATATTGAGATGAGATTAACCATTGGAGATACCAAAGTACATGGATAATCCGAGAGTTTATATCCCTCCTACACTCCCCTAACTCCGACTTATTTACATTTTTCGTTGATTCTGTTGTGATGCATTCTCCTCATAAATAATGAGCTTTTTTCGTTGTTTTTTCTGGTTCATCTTTGCATTCTTCCCAGGTTTTCATTAATGCCAAAAATATCCATTCATTGTGTAGGTGTTTGACTTTTTGTTACCTCTTTGGTTTATAATTAACTCGAAAAAAGGTTTCAGCTGCCATAGAGTTCATCTTGTGCTCGAAGTCTACATTCTGAGTACTCCGGAAAAATGTGTTTTGTTTTAAAAATCTGAACCATCACCTTTTTTGAGTTCTGGAACGACAGAACATTGATTCTCGCTCAAAATGTTTCAATTCACCTTCAGAACTAGTGTTTAGTCATTTTCCATGCTCGTGATTTCCAAAAATAAATCATAACGGACGAAAACCCAAGACTTCGGAATGGCCTTTTCAGACTTTTTAGAAATGTCGAAAATTCCGAGTTTAAACATTTATAAATCTCGGAATTCCGGAATTCCACTTCCCCATCACAAAAGCACGAAAAATTGACAAAAAGATTACAGTATTCCAAAAAGCTCTGATTCTGAAAAAAATCAGAAATACTCCAACCGGAATTTCATTTCGATTCTTTTGATGAGTTATTCCGAAAATGCTAGGAATTTTCGTAATTCCGAACTCGGTTCCGAGCATCCCTGCTTCTAGACCTAGGCCCGATTAATGATTTAAACCTGAAAACTTGAAAATCCTAAATCATTCTTTGGACAAATCAACAATAGATCTTTTAATGATCAAGCCTGAACGCAAAACTCGTTAACCCGGCAATTCGTAAAACTATCAATCCAGATATTTCACACACTTTCTAAACATTCTTTTCCTATCAAAATTGCTCCTAATGGAACGTGATTTTACTATAAGTACCAAGTGGTCTCCAGTCTATAGTCTCCAGTGGTGTCACAAAAACACTTATATTATTCTAGAATAGAATGGATTTATATATTAATCCTTGCAGTCGGAAAAGTGATATCTGGTAGGCGGAAGCTTCTTTCTCTCATAAACAATAGAGACAGACTACAATCGAGCATAAAACGTGATGAATGAAGAAGAAAAAATGAAACATCAAATGTGTTAACTGCAGTTAACATTACTCTCTGCTAGAAAGCTAGAAATGATCCCCACAATTATTTTTCCTGCAGCAACGAAAATTGTCGTCATTTTTTCTTCTATATGTCTATTTTTTTGGTCTTGCCCTGATTTTTAAAGAAAGTGATTCTTGATTCACGTGCTACTCGTTTCCGATTCCTAAGTAGTGTTTCTTCTTTTTTTTCAAATTGGGTCTCCAGCTAAGAGTTCCGTCAAAACAAGTATGTCTCATCATTCATGTGTGTTTACTCCTTTATTGGCTTGCCCTCCTGGATTCTGGAAGCATCTAAAAGATCAAAGAAAGTGAACGATGCTGTTTTCGACTTTCTTGTAGTGGACTTGCACTGTCTGTTTGCTTACAAAAGTAATACTGACCGAAAAAGCCCCAAAATGATGTTAATTAAATGGATTCCGGGATCTACACATATACATACCGCTAGCCACTGTTCATTAGCAATTTTTTTTGTTTTCCCCTCTACCAGGATTTCTATCTTTTGGTTCATAAAAAATTCACCTTTTCAGGAAAAAATCAGAACCAATGTTTTAATGCAAAATCACACATAAAATATTCACGAGTCTCCGGACAAAGTTTGAAATTCCAGGTTAACAAGAATTTTGAGAAATATGTTAACTTACAAGGGAAGGGTTTTTAGACAATGGTTGAGAATTTGCTCAAAATTTGCATACACATAGTTTAAGACATGCTCTATACGATGACGAAAAAATTTTTAACCCGTTCTCACTCCCAGGCCGAAAAACTTTGTCTGAAAATTCGGGCCGATTTCGGTGCGCTGGGGATTTCGGCTTCCCCTTCCCTCCTCTACCAATTCCGATTCCAAGTTTGCCCCCCTAGGAACTATATGACACTTTTTGATTAATTTCAAAAGTTTTCAAAGAAAAAAAAAAGATTTCATGAGAGTTTGAGGAAAAAATAGATAATGGTCTTTTCGACCGGTTCTTACATCCTCGTATCGTTAAAAACGAACATTTCAGTCTCTGAAAGTTGCTCAATTTTGCTCTTTTTGAGGTGGAGTACTGTCAAATCGATCACATACAAGATTCGAACCTATTTCTATAGGTTTCAGTTAAGTTCAAGCGATATTTCAGAAATTAGGGACTGTCAAAGTTCTGACGACAATCAGATTTTGGAGATTATTTATACTTGTAATCCGGGCCTTTGCCGGGCCTTCGCGGGCCCTGCCATAATTTCTTTCAAAATCCATATTTTCGAACCAACTAAATCAGGTATGATAGAGCTCCACGAGTACTACAAAACGATATGATTTGAAATATTGTATCTTATCTATGAACAAAGTTACAGATCATAAAGTGGCTTTTCTCGCAGGGCCCGGCAGGGGCCTGCTTTTTCCTGCTCTTTTTGCTCTGTGACTCTGTTCATAGACAAGATACAGTATTCCAAATAATACCGTTTTGTAGTACTCGTGGAGCTCTATCATATCTGATTGAGTTGGTTCGAAAACATTGCTTCTGAAAGAAGTTATGGCAGGGCCCGCGAAGGCCCGGAGTACAAGTATGAGATTTTTTCCAAAGACAACATTGGGCTGAAAAAATTTGTCAGAATGCTATTTTTATCGGTTCTGAATAATTGGAACGTTTTTTCGCCCTTTTCAAAAAAACTTTCAAAAAATCATTTTCAAATTGTGGGGGACCCCATGATGATTTTTTTCAAAATTTTTCAAAAAAAATTTTTTTTTGAAAATGTTTAAAAGTTACTTTAGAAGATAGAAAAATGTCCAAAAATGAGTTTCGCACTCAAGCAAATCCTGAAAAACTAATTTTTAACCTCGAAAAATGCATGTTTTTGGCCAAAATTTAGTACCAAAAGCACTTTCAGAGGCCATATTTCGGCTTCTTTTGAGAACGGCCTAAAAATTTTTTTGGATTCGGATTCAGCATGTTCGAAAATACCTTTGTACAAATTTTGAGCACATTCTCAACCGTTGTCTGAAAAACCTTCCCTTGTTAGAAATTCATGGTTTAGATTTGCAATTCACAATATTTTATAATCCAAAATAGAATCTAGTTGTTAGTTAGTTTTATAAAGAGATCTACCGTCAGGAAAATATAAAAAATTAATTCACATTAGAAGTTCCCACCATGGTGTAATAACATCAACGTGTCTAGATTGCCTTCGTCGGATTAATACGTAAGGCGGAAGTCGTCCAAGATTTCTGACATCCGGACAAACATATCTATAAGCTAAAGATTGCTGATTATCAGTTTCGTTCACCGAAAAGACTGCTTAGAAAATGATTATCCGTCATCGAAATATACTTAAATCAACTTATATACTTCCTTCTAAATTCTGAAGATGTGTCTTTGGGGAATTCCACCTTTTCTATTTCTCTTTCTCATTTTATCAACTACTCTCATCTCTTTTCCTACTTTTCTCTTTTCTTTTTTTGCAAAAGAACACGTTCCAAATATCTAGTTGAATTCAGGTGTCACTCATCCCCTTTCTTGGAAATACCTGAATTAGAAGGGCCCGAACTTTGAACTTTGAGCCAATACATCTCGGTACCTGTCAAAGATATGCAAGAGCTGTCAACTGATTAATTGGTTATGATAATATCACATACATTTTATCAGTTGCCACATTCCTGATATCTTGCACAGGAGCCAAGAAAAATTAGCTCAAATTTGACAGTGTCGGAGCAACAGGTTTAACGGTAGCTAGTTTCCTAAGCCATTTGAAACTCTTTTTGATCTCCCTATTTTTTGTTTGCTAGATGTCCGTATTAAAAGAACATTTCAATAAACATACACCAATTACCGTAAAACCTCTAATAGAACGACACTCTTTTGAAAGATATCAAAAAGTGGTTAAGTAGTAAAATGATTATCAGAATATCAGCAACATTTTACTAGTTAGCCACTTTTTGATATCTTTCACAGAAAATGAGATATATAGGCTCAAAGTGGACGATCCGGGTGTCGTTCTATTAGAGGTTTTACGGTACTTTAAGTTTCTTCTTCTCAATCCATCACGTCAGAACACATTCTATCTCATTACTTCTTCTTCGTTTCCCCTTCATGGGCGGTTCCTTACTTCTTTGACTTCTAATCTTCCGGCAGCAGCTGATTCCGTATTTATTCGAAATAATACCTCTAGTGTTCCTTATACCTACTTAAAGCTTATTATTTTCAGATTTTCAGATTTTTCTTGCAGTCTTTTAATATTTTTTTAAAATAAACAATACTGTAAAATCTGTAATAAAAGAGCCACTTGCCTTTTAACTTTGAGCCAGCTTTTCTCGGTTCCGGTCCAAGATATAAAAAGTTATTAACTGATAAATTGTTTATCATAATACCACAAACATTTTATCAGTTGACACAGTTTTGATATCTTGCATAGGAGCCGAGATAAATTAGCTCAAACTTGACAGTTTGGGGACCTTCTATTACAGGTTTCCCGGTATGGTTGCTTCTGAATTAATTTTCTTCTCTTTCCAACTTTTAAAAATTGTGTTTACATAGAATTCGAATTTCAGACTGAATTTTTATAATGGTACTTGACACATCTTGGAATCGAACAACGATAGAATTCGGGCATCGAGTGAGTTTTTCGTTTATTTTATCTAGGAAAAAACAAACAGAGAACTTTTCTGAACCTGAAAAAGAAGATAACCTATTCCAGGGAGTCACACCAGTCCACGTGGCAGCACTTTTTATGGGAACCATCAACTGTCTTCTGAATGGTCTCATCTGGACAGCCTTCCGAAAATCTCCACAGCTACTCACAAAACATCATCTCTACTTGTTTTATGCATTTGCGGTTACAAATTTTTTCACAGGTACGGTATCTGAGGTACCTAATCTTGTTTTGAGAAGATTTTATAAGCAGGATATGTTTTCTTCGTAACTCCAGGAAATCTGAAGATCTTTGTTTTGCTATGTTCTCTTTTGTGACAGCTTTCTATACATAGGCATTTGTAGTTTGTAGTTTCTTTCAGCTTTGCAAAAAATACTATTTCCAGGATTCTTCACAATACCAACCTACCTAAATCTCTTCCTTCGGAACAATCTGAACTGCCCTAGATGGTCCATTCTCATTGGATCAAGTTTCGAAATCGGACTCGACAAGATCCGCCATATCGTTACACTTTCAATTGCCGGAGAGCGAATTTACGCATTGTTTTGGCCATCTGAATACTTTTTCCTAGATCACAAAATGGCAAGTTCTGCCCTGGGGAACAACAATAAATTGTTCTATTTTCAGATTTCGCTTAAAATCTGTGCTATTTCTGTCATTTGGGGCGTGGCTGACATGGTATGGCTGATATTTGAAGACGACATATATATGGTGAGTCTGAAAACATTCTAAAATGGGAAACGAACAAAGAATAGCCTTCGCAACATATGTATATTTGTAGTTAATGTTAATGTCAGAGACTGAATCAGATTCGTTGCGTCAGGAACAATTGACAAGGGGTAAACAGGTGAAAAGGGAGAATTCTATGAATAATCAGAGCAATTTCATGAGTATTCCTGGCTACGAAACAGAAAAGATGTGAATCAGAACTATCGACTTGTAGACTTCAGAAGTTGATGGGGTGTTCGGCATTTGGACGGATATTGTTCAGGTTCTGGTCGGAAGTTGCCCAAGAACGGCTGTATAGCGGGCCATGGTCAGATTTTTGTCGGAAGTTAAAAATTGAAAACTACTAGATCGGACATCAGTTGTTCGGGGTTATGAATGGAGAGCGGTGCCTGAAGTATGAAGTATCTCGAAAATTCTTATAATAGATCCGAATCCACTGTGTCACCACATCTTCATCTGGCCCTACCTTCCATCTTTACTTTCTACTATCCACAATTTTCTTCGGCGTCCTCCTATCTCTAGCCTATTTTCTATTCATCTGCAAGTTGTTCGTACTTCGAGAAACAAGAGTTATCAATGTCAAAAAGCGAACCCGTGAAAATTTCCAGCAGGTATTTCCGGTACTTTTTCTTTCTTCCAGTCATCATTAATTTTAGGTCAACTCATTGACAGTTGTTGTGATTCTTCTAGTTGTAATATTCAATGTTCTGCCAAGTCTTCTATATCTATATGACATGATAATCGGAGAAGTTCACTTCATGAAATGGGGACCAATTATCACAATCGGATACCATTGTTACGGAACTCTCTCGTTTTTCTTTTACAATTGTCGACATCGAGAGATTCGTGCAGCGTTAAAGTGAGACATCTACAAATAATTATGATGTCATTTATTCTCAATTTTCAGCAAAATTGAGTTCATTCGGGACTTCATCAACTGCGACAAAACTCCGAAGAGCAACTCAAAAAGCATAGATGCAAGTGGAAAATTCAGTGATCTCGTGAAAGGAGTTCCCAAAATGGTAAGGAAACTTTGAAGTTAAATATCTGGATTCATTGATTTTTCAGGTGACATCCAAACTAGGAACATCGAAGCCATCCATCGTCATCGTCATGGACAGTAATGACAACGACAGCGAGATATTTCTCTGATTCTCAAACATCACATTACCATTTTGTTATTTTTTTCATTGAATACAAACAAAAATATTTATGTTTTCTCTGGCCTTTTTCTCTTTTCCTTCCCTTCCAATCACCTCATCTGATCTCGTTTGTGATTATCTGATTGTTTCTCATTTTGACCATCCTCGGGTTTCACTCTTTTTCTTCTCATTTCTTGTCCATATCTCGCTGTTTCAGCCGCTCTAAGTTTTCAATAAAATCATTGTTGTGTGTAAAGTGAAAGGAACAAAAAAAAAAGATAAAAGACAGGTCATTTGTCTTGTGTCATTTGGCTACTCACATTCAACTTTTTCTATATCGAGAAGTCAGTCATGCGCCAAACTTCAACGACGACGATCTTACTTTTTGTTCTTCTTTTTGGAATCGTCATTTCCCAAAAGAAGAATCCATGGAATGCTGAAACGGCAGACCAGCGACTCGATGATGTGATAAGTAACGAATTCAAGGTAAATAGTGGAAAAATGAGATTTCTATCTAAAATGACAAACTCAGGCTAGAGATTCGAATAAGGATGGAAAAGTGACACCGAAAGAAATTCGCGAGTATTATGAAAAACATCCCAATAAAATGAGCAAAGAAGGATTGGAATTTATTGACAGAAATTTCAATAAAAATGGAGCAGCAGTTGATTTGGAAGGTAAGGATCTTTATACGTTATTTTATTTTCTGGAAACTTCCCAAATGTTCAGGTTATCGGAAACTGATAAAGGACTGGCTGACGGAGAAGGGAAGCGTCGAGAAGATTCTCGTCGGAGTGTTTGGCAACAAAACGGACCACGTCCCATCGACAAATGTTTGGCGTAAAACGACAGTTGCACCATGATGCCAGAATTTTTATGAAACAAGATTAAAACCGTACATGCTAAAATAAAATAAATTTGAAGACCCCAATAAATTAATATCTTTCTGAGAAAACCCTTATGGATTGTACCAGTCGAGGAAAAGAAGAGTGAAAGTTAGAACAACGATGCAGAAGAGGAACCAGACGCGTTGGAAAGCCGAGTTGGTGATTGCTTTACGAATCCATTCGTTTCCATCGATGAGGTTTTCTGACGTGTGCAATGCCAGATCGTTGATCAAATCGATGTCTCGCTCTTGGTCCATGATCTGAAAAATGATTTTATTAAGAAAATCAATTCACAGTTCTTAGTAAGAAGAACCTTACCTTCTCCGAGAAAACTGAAGCCAATGATTGGATTTCTGAAATTTGTTGCTCCAGCTTCTCAATTTCATCATCACGATCCGCTTTGACGAATTCTTCCTTGATGATTGCTGTTTGTTGTTGAAACTGCTCGTTGAACTGTTCTCCCTGCTCACTCTTCCATCGTTCGTAACTCTCACGTAACTCATCTTGTTCCGATCCAGCAACCAGACGACGTCTGTTTCGAACAGATTCGTTGAAGAGAATAGATGAGCAATCACGACTTTCTTCAGGCTTTTCTTTCGGCTTTTCTTTTGGAACTTCTTTAAACTGAAAACCATCAATATCACCCCATCCATCATCGTCGTTATCGTTCACTATCTTGGCACTGGTAATCTCTTCAACCATATCAAAATCTTGGTCGACTTGTTCTTCCTTTGGTGGCTTGAACTGAAGACAAGGATACTTCAGTGATAACTCTTTCAACTTTCCAATCAGTTTTGCTGAAAATGATTTGCTAAAAAAACTAGAATTATCAAACACATCGATTACGGTTGTATTCAAAATCAGATCCGAAAAGAAGCTCGTCAAGTCCATTAAGGTATTTGAAGGCATGCCCGTCTTGCTTCGCAGTTTTCACCTCGTCGGCAAGTGAGCGATTCTTGACTTGCAGTCTTTTCAGGTGCTCCTTTCTGAAAAATCATGACTTGATTTATAACTCTTCATTTGTAAATTACTTCAATAGAGACACAAGATCCACAGTCTCTTTCAAAAATACTCTCAATCCCTCTTGCACTCGTGTGAGATGTCCTCTTTCAGATGCATTCCGTAGACCGTCACTGCTATGTACACGCTTCCCGAGTTGATTGATGAACGATTCGAATTGCGATAACTTCTGAAGGAAAAACATTAAAGGGGTTTTAGAGAAGACTTTTGTAACAAACCACTTTGACATCTGCATCAAAGCATTCTCGTTCTTCGGAACTCATTTTTGAGTAGGCCGGAGTGGCGAAGATGTAGTCTTGGGAGCGGTCCTCAAGCATTTTACGGAAAAGATACATCTCAGTGGCGAATGGATGAACTACATTCGATATATTCGTGTAGGCAGAAGACGGGCGGTTTTCATCTCGACGAGATACTCCTGGAAGTACGAGGTGGAATCGAGGTGTTTTCTATTTTTCTGGTATCGGTGGCTGAAGGTCCCAAAACGATAATTACCATAATTTTGATGAATTTTATATGCATCGCTGTCTGAGAAAAAAGGTTGAGACACAGAGAAAGAATGACTGCGTCTCCACCATGTGCTATTCAAGCTCGCCGCTTCGAGATTCCTACTGTATTCAGACTGCAAAAAATACTCTAACCTTCTTTTTTTCAGACAGAAATAATATACCTATTTTCTCGTTTTTCCCTTCTTTTTTGTCGAGCTTTTTTTATTTATCCCTAACCAGGTCGGAAAAAAGAATATTTGACAGTGAAATAATTGCCTGAAAACGCACGAAGATCGAAAATTAATTCGGAAAATAGAAATATTTTTAGGTTACGGTAGTTGTCGTTGTAGGACCTTTGGCCACAACCACCGGTGTTTCTCTTTCACAGCTCCGATTTTATGTGCCTAGTCCATGTTATCCAGATAATCTTACCCGGCTTCTCATTATGTCTTCTAATATGTTTCTGTTCAATCGATGTAGCGAGTGTTTTGAACTGTTCCGAACGATCGGAATATGGCGGTCGGTCTATGGCCATCCTGGAGATGATTGGAGTTTTGAATTTCGAAAATTCTCTTTTTTCAAATAGTTTCACCTTGGCTATCTACAATTATATCTCTCCGTTTTTTTTTCTGTTTCGGCTATCAACACCATTTTATTCGCATCTAATGTGAAATTTCCGGGGAATGAGAAGGCATGACGTTAGTCTGAGAATAGAAATATTCCATGAAAAACATATACATGCTCGACGAAAGACGACGCGGATAAGCTCATGTGGATGGACAGAGAAGGATCATGCAGCTTATCGGCGCGCCGTATCAATAAATTAATTTCAGAAATAGAAGATTTCAGCTCGGTCAAAGGATAATAAAATAAGAGAAAGGGACAGGTTGGGTGAAGAAGGGTGGGTGTGAGAAATAGTATATAAATCATCTATAGTACATGGGAAAGTAAGAAGTTCAGAAAATAGGATAGAACACTCAGCTTCTATGTTTGGAAATAGGAAAAAACGGATGAAAATGGGCAAAAAGTGGATGGGACGAATTTCGGGGAAAGAGAATTACAGTTTCGGACACCAAGTCAAAAGATGGGAGTGATTTTTTTTTATTTTCCTCCGGCCCACAAGACGATGATGATGATGAGAATAACGACGATGGCGCACATGATGATCATCATCTTGATGTTCTTCCACCAGTACTTGCGCTTCAGAGTAGCAGCCGACTTCTCGAACTGCGATGCACCTTCTTGGAGAGCGTCAGCTCTGTCATCCAATTGCGAGAGCTTCTGATCACGCTCCAAGACTTTCTCCACGTTCACCTGAAAACATCCATATATTTCAACATCTTGTAATTGAAGAGGGCTTCACAGCGAAAAAACTTTAGAGACATTTCAGAACAAAACTACTCGATTTGCCTTACCTTCATGATTCCGACGACCTCATCGACCTGAGCTTGTGTCTGTTGAAGACGCTTGTTAGATGGTCGTGGTCCCTGGCTTCCACCCTGTGCACCGGCGTCTCCTTGAGCGTCCATTTCGTTTAGATGTTCTGGGTCCGGGTTACAGGCACTGCCCTGAAAATATAATGCTTAGAGTAGGGGTGGAAACGACGTTTTTGAAGATTTGAAGAAGGAGAGAGAGAAAAAACAACGAGCAGTTATCAATGAAAAATTGAATGTCCACGAGATATGATAAGTTCCTCGATGGAAGAAAAATGAAAACAAAAGAATATAGCTCTTTCGGTTGTGGTTTTTCGGAGGAACATTTCTGAAGAAAACCAGGAAGCGAACGGAGTCAGATGACGAAGCGGTGAGTGGGCACGTCGTTGAAACTTGCGAAATCTCTGCAAACACTAGAGTGTTTCACGTACGCTGCACTATAGCTGACGCGCAATGCTGCGATAATTGTTTTTCCACCTCGATGGAAAGTTAAAAAATAAATGAAGTGACACCGGAGAAAACCGGTTTTTCACCGATCTAATCGATCGTTCTTTTTTTAACGACTGATTATTGTTCTCCGGTAGCTACCAAAAAAAAACTAAAAAAAGCGAAAACTGGAAAGGGTAACTTGTATTGAAGAAGACTCATTGTGTGGGGACGCATTCCAGACAAATAACGAAGCCACTTTTTATTGCTTTGCAGCTAGAAGATTGTGGGAGGCGAAACTAATAATGGGGAAGAAAAAAAAGAAGAAAAGAGAGTCTCTGGCACACGCTCTCCATCTTTCTCCTTCTTTCCCAGTTCGTTCTTGGCCGATTTCACACAAATGGAGCTAAGGAGCTAAATTCCTTTTGCAGTCAGAGAAATAAAAAGGGAAAGCTGAATACAAAAAAGTTTTCAGGAGAATTGAAAGAAAATCTGGGATCATGCACGTAAGTGGTCCAGAGGAGAAATTGAGTGCCCGAGGCGAATCTCCAGTATGAAAATGAAATAGAAAAGGGGTGGAAGGCTCTGGTTGACTTCGAGTCTCCATGTACACATTCAAATCCACGTCATGGTTGCTGAGCTACCCGCCGGGAGTCAGTCTCGAGAGTTCTTGTGACTTCGTACGAATTTCGGCAGCCGAAATGCCAACTCGCATCCGACATTAGATGCTTGACGAAATACTATGGGCAACCCGCCAGAAGACAGAATGGAAAAGACGAGGTTCCAGTACAAGCAAGGTGGAAAGCACATGATGCTGACTCAGGGTTTTTGGTTCCATCTAGCTTATAGGAGAACGCTTTGAAAATATTTGGCGGGAATCAGAACAAGGAAGAGGAAGGAAGAATGAAAAAGAAATGGGTATGATTGTACACGGTATGAAAAGAGATAGATGGGGAGAGTAGGTAAACAGTGTGACTTTTGTTCAAAGGAATAACAAAATGATGTACTTGGGATGTTCTGTATTTCGGAAGACGTGGCGAATATTCAACTTACTGTATTTAGGAGAAAATCTAACTCTTTTGAGTCTGTTTTGACAACGGAAAAAAAGAAAAAAGCGAGGCTTCTTTTTGTGTTTTGCCTTTGTTGGTTTACTCATTCGAGGTCGATTATCCCCGGGGACCGCTTGTTCAATTATGATTCTGTCCGATTTCAAAAACAATTCCGAAAGAATAGAGAAATAGGGCATCGATAACAAACCAAAGGTGTCTAGGCCTCGGCACCAACATAAAAAAGTACTAGTTTGGTGCGGTGAGTCGAGGCGAGAGAGAGAGAAACATGGAGAAAGAGAAATACTGAAAGCAAGAGAAAAGAGATCGATGAAAATTCGCGCGCTCATGGAGCCATGTAGGAGAGAGCAGTGCCCATTGCCGTCAGAGGAGCCCGAAGAATGAGAGGAAGGACACAAGAAACGAGAAAAAGAAAAAAAAGTGGGCATGCGCGAAAAACTGAGAGTACCAAGAAGAAGAAGAAAAAGAAAAGAGCAGTGGGTGCTTTCGGGCTCGACGGAGCAGCCATCGTCGGCAGAGGCTGTAGCACAAGGATTATATGGGCAGAAGACGTCGACGAGTGTGTATGCGTATGTAGATGGAAGACGTGCTTCGGCTTCTTCTCTTTTTTGCCCATTTCTTCGCGCCGTTGAAAAAAAGAAAGCCACAAACTACGGGTGAACGAAGCGAAACCAGGAGAAGAGAAGAGAAAAAAAGCTGGGATATTGTGAAATCTCAAATTTCATTTTTCAGACTTGAAGATATACAAAGAGAAAGAGAGGCTTAGAAGATTGACAATGAGTAATACAACTGCATCTTTATTTTGGAGACACGAATTGGTAGAAGAGGTCCTCCATCATGTATCTACCATGAGATTGCATTTATAGAAGAAGAAACATAGAAAAATTAGGGGGGGGGGGGTTTTTTTTGTTTTTTTTTGTATGTGAGGAGAAAACAAGGGGAAGAATCAACATAATGTTTCCCATTCTGTTTTTTTTGACTGAGAATTCAAGGGGCGAGTGTGATCAGTGAGGGGGCGAGAGAAAAGAAGAAAAAGACTGTTCTAGAAACCAAAACATGTGAGATTTTCCTCAAAAAACACATGGAAGGGGAAAGAAGAAGGAGAAAGAAGATATAGATGGATTACTGTAATCGAGGAATTAGCCAAACACCTATAAGCTTTATCTCTTGTTATTGCTATTTTTCGCTTTCTATTGGCACGTGTTGGGGCTGTGGAAGAGAACGGCGGTGACCGTGGCCGAAGGTCCACAACGACAACTACAGTGGTCTAAAATTTTTACGATAATTGTCATTGTGGGACCTTCGGCAATTCATTTCAAAACAGATAATGCTTCTTTCTGAAAGTCTACACCTGATTCTTCATTTTTTATATGAAGTACAACAAATGACGAAAAGAAAAGAAAAGGGCAGAGAACGAGAAAGAAGGGAATCGTCATTCGAAATGACATAATCCCAAAAGTATTAAGACACTCGAGTCGTCTGTTCGAGAGCCACCATTTCTCTTTTTCCAGCTCCAACTTTCAGAAAAGGGGCCTTATTAATCGCTCTGAGGCTCTGATGCTACTGCTGGAAATAAATAAATGCATGAATAAATTGTCATACATAATAAATGAATTAAGTGAGTGTCAGACTCTGGATAAATGGAGTTGTTGAGGGAATGGAGAAAGAAATTTATGTGAAGAGCAAAGAAAAGAAAGTCAACACGAAAAGTTGGAGAGAAATTGGATAGAGCCATACCAATTAACACATCCATTCAAGTAAACGGGAGAAGAAAGAACATAAATTAGATTTTGTGTTCATCTCTGGAAAACAAAAAAAAAGAATAGAAAAGAGAATGCTATAGTTTACCCTCAAACCTATAACCTCCTGGAAAAAATGGAAAAGACAAAAAGCGTAAGAGTGACTGAGCAGGCAATGTCATTCAACACAAGTGTGGAGATGGTGGCGGGGTTTTAGAGAGGGACTAAAAGTAGGGAAAAGGACCAAAAAAGGGAAACAGAGGTCGTCGAGAAAAGAAAAAAGAGATTGCATGAAGATATGAGAGAGAGAGAGTGGAAACCCGAAACGAGAAAATTTTCCTTTTTGCTTTGACGACAGCGCTCGATTGAGTTTATAAAAGAGTCATAAACAAAACGTTACCTTTGTGTGGGTGTATGATTCAGGTGAAACTGACATCTTATGAAGGAGTTGTTTTTTTTGTTTCAGAGAAAATGATACGTATCTAAAACCAATTTCCGACGGACTGTTCTTCTAATTTAATTATAGACAGAAAATTGGAAAATGTGAGCAAAAAAGAATGAGATGGATTGAACAGTAGAGCTCATTCATTGTAACAATGCTTCTGGAAGAAGGAAAATCAGGAGTTGAGAAAACGAATAATATATTGGAGGGAATGATATGAACTTCTGAATGCATACATAATACCGTCAAAGCTGTCATACACAACCAACCTAACTTTAAACTTTGAGGCAAATTATCATAGTTTTTGTCAAAGATATAAAAAAAGGTGTCAACTGATAAGTTCTTTATTATATTATCAGAAGTATTTTGTCAGGTGACATAGGAATTGAGATAATTGAGCTCAAATTTGACAATGTGGGGGCCATTCTACAGGTTTTACGGTGAATCCAAAAGTGAAAATTCAAGTGATATTCAAAGTGTTTTTAAAAAATGTGAATGGAAGAAATCCACGTGGCAAAATTTTTTTTTAAAAATTCAAAATTCTAGACCAAAAAAACGGCGTGAGTTGGTACGACCCTAGATGACCCATCGACCTCAGGGAGAGTACTATAAAGGAAGAGGGAAGTGGAGGGAAGAATCAGTTCTCCCCCTTCTCTGGGCACCAAAGAGGACCCAGAGGAGGGGGTCGGGCTGGAGCCAGGAGCCGGGAGCCTGGGTCAGCGGGATCTGGAGCTGGAGCTGGAGCTGAAGCTGGAGCTGGAACTGGAGCTGGAGCTGGAGCTGGAGCTGGAGCTGGAGCTGGAGCTGGAGCTGGAGCTGGAGCTGGAGCTGGAGCTGGAGCTGGAGCTGGAGCTGGAGCTGGAGCTGGAGCTGGAGCTGGAGCTGGAGCTGGAGCTGGAGCTGGAGCTGGAGCTGGAGCTGGAGCTGGAGCTGGAGCTGGAGCTGGAGCTGGAGCTGGAGCTGGAGCTGGAGCTGGAGCTGGAGCTGGAGCTGGAGCTATAGTATCCCATATACTGGAATACAACGAAATCTGGAGCGAAAAAATCTTAAGAATGACATTCAACCATTTCATGGAGTTCAAGATAATGGTTTCCACAAGGCTACGATGTCTGGCCCGCCGAAGATTCAGGCGGCGCAGACGATGATGCAGACAATTCATGCAGGATACGTGTTCTGCATAATTCGGACTGAAAATAAAATATTGTTGAAGATTTAGGATGAAAACAAGAAGGAATCAAATTCATTGAACTTGCCTCTTTTTTCCTTGAAATTAGATTTGATAAATGAATGAGCGAATTAATTTCACATATTTACCTAGTTAATGGATTTACGAATTGTTAACGAAATGTGTTTTTTACAGGAACCGAGATACATTATGGCAAAGTTTTTGGGGCCCAACTTAAACTAGGTTTTAGGGTAAATGCACTCTAGTTTGACCCAAAAAATCCCAGTTCTTGTAAAAATTGAAAAGTTATCAACTAATTGATTAGTTATGTTATTAAGATATAAATTTAATCGGTTTATTATTTTCAAACACTTCGTACATATCCCAGACCCAACGGTAAGATATTGTCAGTTTATTATTGTGAATTAACAATTTTGAGGTTTCAAAAGAGCTTAAGAAAATCTTTGAGACAAAGAAAGTCTTAAAAAACTCTTAAATGTTATGAAACCTTTTTTGTAGAAATTTGCGTTTCAAACAAAAAAGAGCGCTCGACGAAAGAACAAATTCTCGGAAATGAAATTGAGAAGGACATTTACATATTGTACTCTTCTTTTTCTCATTTCCAAGTATGACTTCCTTCTTCTTCTTCTCAAAAACGAGAAGACGGACACTTTATCTCTCCTCCCACTCATCTCTTCTCCGTTTTTTTCTTCTTCTTCTTTCTAATATTCATATCGTTAGAATATTCGATTAGCAAGAATGTATATGAAGAGCTCGACGACTTTGGCGGAAAGAAGCAAAAAAAACGAGACAGAAGGAAATGCATGTATATCATTGAAATATGAGAAATTCGTGTGTTTGGATGTGTTTTTGCACCACGGCGCCTTCTTGACTGAATACGCATATTTCAAATAGGCCAAACGGGACCCATCTTCTAAAATTTTGTGTCCAGAGCGTCACTCTTTTTTCTTTTTTTTTAATGAATGGGAAAGAAAGGGCAATAACAAAAAAAACAACGAGGAAGTGATAGATAGAGATCCGATTTAAAACTTCTGATTGTGAATTTCATGAAACAGGAAAGAGGTCGATGATGGAATGCGAAGTTCAAAATCGTGATGGCTTCGGAGAGATTTTCGGTGACCGACGGTGATGTAGGTGATGGATCGCTGAAAATGATTTCATTTTCTATTCTCAAGTGCACTTTTCGTTTTTTGCATGATGCCAGAGCCAAAATCCATTTCGGAAAATTGGCTCTCTTCTCATTCACCGAAGAAGAAAACCAATTTCCGGGGAGGAGGGCAAGAAGCGAAGCCATTATTGAAAATTGGTGGCTCTCACTCTTTCCGTTTTTTCACAGAAACCGACAATCTTCATTTCAAAAAAAAAACGACTGGGACCGACCTTTCTGAGCATTTCGTACATCGAGTTCTCAATTCCTTCATCTACATTGCACGTCGACTCATCGAGGAAGACAATTGTAGGCTCCGCGAGCAGCATTCGAGCGAAACAAAGACGTTGTTGTTCCCCAGGAGACAAAGTTTCTTGCCTGTAAAGAATGGACCTAGATTAGACAATATTTATATGGATGCTATACCATTCAAAGTCAACAGAGTCAGTAAGATTTCCAACAATTGCCAACAAGTGTCCAAGTTTCAGCTCGTGCAGAATACGAACGATCTCTTCTAAAAATTTTAAAAATTCACTGGAGTTTTCCCAGAGTTTCAGGCTTCCATTACCATCATTTCCACCGATTTTCTCTACATCTCCCATGGCTGGAAACATCAGTTGCTGTTTCAAAGATAATCTTCCAACTGGGAAGTATGGTCTTTGAGGCAAGAAGTAAGCATCTGGTTTCTCATAAAATCTCCTCAGGTTTCCTTGATGTGGCCACATATCAGCAATCACTCTCATTAATGAGGTCTTTCCAATTCCACTGTCACCAGTGATCAACATAGTTTTGTTACGTGGGAGATTGAATGTCAAATCTGAAAATGAATCGAGTGAAAATCATTAGAAATCCACCTACTAATCTTCATAACAGAATAATCCGATAGATCCTATTCCGAGAATAAAAATAAACTTACTTTCAATAATGCGGATATTAGAATTGGTTGGTGGACCGAACGATAAATGTTCCGCTTCAATCAGATTTTCATCTCCTGATGTCTTAGCAGAAGGATCGGAGTTACGACGGAAGGCGTCGTTGTCAACTCCAGCTTCGTATAGTTTTCCATTATCCACAAACTCGCTCACTCTGAAAAAAAACCCAAATTTTAGGAAGAAAAGATAGAGTACCTCATGATATATCCTCCCAATTCCGCAAGATTCATAGCCAAATCTGTGAGTCTCGTGAAACAATTGATAAGGTAAATGAAGAAGAATGCATTCTGAAAGTAGGCATATGGTGGGAGAATCAGATTCGTATGCTAACTTACATTACTGATTTGATTGATAAGTTCCCCAGGTTTATAATTGTCGTACATGTGGAAAACAAAAAGTGGGAAAAGTTGAAGAATATAGGACATGCATGCGCCATAGTAATCGAAGAAAGATTGGAAAACTGGAAATAAGTATTTAAAACAATTTGTTTCCTAATTCGTTACATTGAGATGGGAATTTCCAGCACATGAAGACAAAGAGCCTTTTGAATAGTGCGTCGAAAGAAAGGTTGGAGTAAACGTGCTCAAATTCTGCAGATTTGAAAAACGCGGATTCTTCTGCATTGGTACGGACCGACACATGTTTGTATCTACAATCACTATATAAACCATGAATATTGATTTCTTCTATCACCTGAAATCTCCTTCCGCTTTCTCAACTCTAGCTGCCCATGGAGTGAGTGGACCAATTAGGATTCTATTGACTATGACACCAAAAGCAAAATAAGCAACGATCATTCCGAATCCCCATCCTCCGGATCTAAATTTTTAAAAAATGTGTTTCTGCTTCTTCAAATAGTCTTACGTAGTCCAAACTTTGACTCCATAATATGAAATGATGAATGGAGATAACAATACAGTTGGAATAATGCTGGTTCCCAATAGTTTTGTTAACTTGTCAGCATCTTGAGTGATTCTTTGATCCCTGAAATTGATTATGATATGATTAAGATATGTCGTGAACTGATTTGACTAACGGGTTGTCAATTCCATGATCATCAACTCCATTTAACTGATAGTAAAAATTGTTCGTGTAATAGATTTTATGAAGGCATTGGACAAGATTTTTGCGTTGTTGAATGTAGAGACACCACGAGAAGAAGTTCATCAAAGCGATCAAAAGGCATAATCCCAGATAACACAGAGAAGCAACCCAAAAAATGTGCCAGAATTTAGGTTCATCTCGCTCGACGAGAGCTGCGTAAAACTTTCCAGGAATAACTCCAGTTTTGTAGTTTACGATTTCATCTGAAAGAGTTTTAGTGACCTTTGGAAAAATAAAAGAAGGAAACGGTAAACTCTGGGAACACCAATCACGTATTACATCTTTCAGTTAGAAATGTCTTACATGATGGCTGTTCCTAGAGATACATCCGTTTTGAAAATAATAACTGACTTCCGACAGAAGCAGCAATAGTGAGAGCAGTCAGTGATAAAGTGAGCCAAGTGTTCGAATAGAGAAGTGGGAACAGGCGAAAGAGATTGTAGAAGACGCGGTATCCAAAATGGAACTTCTTCTCAATCACTTGCAGTTTACCCATTTTATCTGGAAACTTGAGATACGATAAGAGGAATAGGCGGAGATTGATCAAACAATGAACTTTGATGTATGCCAAGAAATAGTACGGAACATAGAGATGGCGAAGAACTGATAAAGGTGAATAGAAGCGATGGTTAGGTTGAGAAGAACACAAACTGAACGATCGGGAAGTGCTTTTTGTGTTGGTTGGCAAGGTAATTGATAACGGTTCTTGGTCTCCGATAGACTTGAAGACAGTTTTACGGTGTTTTTGAAAAATAAGTTTGCTAATTGATTCGGTCATTTATCAGTAATTTTTTTGACTTTTTTAATTGTCCCATGGCAACGAAATTCGTCTTGTACTGCTATTAGGAAAAATCAGAACAGTGAAAAAAATGGTGCGGGGGTGGTCCGAGCCTCAGAATGGCAACCAGATTAACCTGAAAAAACTGTTCCTGGAAATGAACACTCATAGAAAACCAAAAAAACAGTCAACTTTGAGCTAACTTATTTCGGTTTCTGTAAAAGATGTCAAAAAGTGGTCAGCTATCACAATTTTTATCATAATATCAAAAACATTTTGTTAGTTGACTTTTCCCATCTTTTACTACCGAGATATACTGGCTTAAAGTTGACAGTTTGGGAGGCGTTCTATTAGAGTGCTTACGGTGTTTTTTTTACTCGATGTCCACTGTTTCTCGAAAATGTTTCTGTTAATTCCTACCGAATAAGTCAATAAATAAAATTGGAGAAAATTGCCGAGAAACGGATATATTTTAAAAAACTGGAGAAGAAAAATGCGTTCCGGTTACGGTAGTTTTCGTTCTGGGACCCCAAGCCACGGCCACCAGTGCTTTTATGCTACCGTTCCGATTCTATTACAACCAAAACAATGTTTTCAAATAAACAAAAAAGGAAGCTCTCAAAATTTATTGTTACCCTATAATCATGCAAAAATTATAATACGCAGTTTCGAAGAAGAAGAAACACCGAAACCACGGAATTGCCTTATGTTCAGAGCTCTGAATACCGTGTTTTGAAATAATCTTCTGATACACGGAAAACTGTTTCAGAAGACCTTTGACCCAGATTCGTTGATAAAAAGTTGCCTACTCATCCCTTTTCAGAATTTATAAATTTCTTGAGAGTCTTCGGAACACCAAATATCGTTAACACCTTAATAAAATGCTTCAAACCTTCAACTCTTTTCACAGGAACCGAGATAAATTGGCTCAGTGCTCAAAGTCAGGGCGCCGTTGTATTAGAGAGTTTACGGCAACTTACATTCATCATGTGTAGATCCGGCGATATTGGACATTTAACAGAACAGATGTGGGTCAGAAAAAATGAACAAAAAAAGACGGACAATCAGATATAAATAAGAGAAACATGATTGATGAGAACCTTCACCCGCAAAGTAAACGATAACATGGTTGGGTAAAAAAATCGAATCATTTTTATTGGAGAATTGTTTCAATAAAAGGCAGTACCAACAAAACAGAAAAAAAACAAAGAAAAGACAAATAAAAAAAAGATAAAACACAAGGAAAATTGCCAGGATGCACCTATTTATGATCGTGTGTCTCCAAATTCTATTATCAGTACAAAATTGATTTATCGGTAGCGTCGCTTATCGTTTGCACGTACGGTAGCATGTGAATGTGAAGCTTAAAATTGAATGAAAAATGCGTACAGAGCATATTGTGATCTGTTACGTTTGCATGACCGTATTAAAACTAAAATATATTTTGTATGTTGTTTGAATTCGAAGTGGAAAGTTTGATAAAAAAAGTTTTCAAAATCTAGAGGGTTTTGAAATTCATGATTTTTGGAAATCGGATGAATATAATAAAAAAAAAGCAATTGCAATAGTCTCCAAAGTTTAACCGTTTCTTGAAACCCGTTATTTTGAAAATAACAGTATCTCCAAATTTCCAATCAGGCCTCCCCAGCAATGTATCATAGGTTCCATTGCCTCCGACGACACAAATCATAAAAACGACCGTGGTTTGTGTATGTGTCTAGTCTCTGCCATAGTGGGATATAAAAAGAAGTGAAAAATAAACTACTTATGTTCTACTCATAATGGGTGGTTTTTTATCTCATCTGAAACCTGAAATCAATTCTGAAATTCTCGAAGCAACCTGTGGTCCGATTCGTGGATATGTGTATAAACATGTGAGTTTATGAAATTGTTTTTATGTTTCGATGATTCTTTTTTTTTCAGAAGAATAAAATTGTAGATGGATACCTTGGAATACCATTTGCCAAGGCTCCCAAGAGATTTGAGAAACCAGTTGAAGCAGAAACTTGGACAGAAGTCAAATATTGCACAAAATATGGGCCAGGGTGTCCACAAGGTGGAGTATTTGAACAAGTGAGAACACTTTGAACTTGAAAAAAAAGTTGCATGATTCCAGATGAAAGACCAACTTGGGCTCTCTTTTGATGAAAGTAATTGTCTCACTCTGAATGTATTCGCACCGAGAAAGAAGTCTGAAAATTATGTTAGTTCTTCGAATCCGAACGGTTTCCCAGTAATGTTAAACATCTATGGAGGAGGATTTGAAATGGGAACATCAGCTGCTTACGACGACTACTCAATATCTGGAATCCTTCCGTTGAAGGATGTTATCATTGTGACAGCCAATTACCGAGTGGGAGTGTTAGGTTTCTTCACAACTGGAGATGAAAAATGTCATGGAAACTTGGCTCTTTGGGATTTGACTCTCGCTTTAAAATGGGTTCAGAAACATATAAGATCATTTGGAGGTGATCCCAACAACGTTACAGTTTTCGGATGTAGTGCTGGAGGAGTTTGTGCTGATTTATTGACCCTCAGTACTCGTTCTAGAGGTAATCGGTGTGTTTCAATATTCACATTTTAGTTGAAATTCAGACCTCTTCCAAAAATGCATAGCAATGTCTGGAAGCGCTGATTGTGAAATGGCATGTCGATCCAAAGCGAATCAAGCACTTATTTTCAAAGAGTTTGCGATAGAAAATGGATGTTCACAAACTGGTGAAAGCTTAACTTTATAGTCGTTCTTAACTACAAATAGGTTTCAGACTCTTCTAATCTAATGAAATGGTATCAAGAGCAAAGCATTGAGCTTTTGAATAAATTGAGTACCTTCAAGTTCTCCCCATCAGGATTTATGTCATGTGGACCTAATGCGGACGGTGATTTCTTCACAGAATCGTTGGATGAATTGAGAAAAAATGCACCCAAAAAAAATTTTATTTTTGGGAGAACTGAGTTTGAAGGACTTATCATGGGTGAGTTTTCAATATATTTCATTTTTACATCTTCAAATTCAGCTGTTCCTGATCCAATTTATTCTCGAATCGGCGACTCTATTGAAGCCTCATCGAAGAAATTGTTCAAATTGGATGTTGTCCCGAAACCAGAAGACGTTCACGAAAAGTTGGAGAATTGGTATTCAGAAGGAATAGACAAATCCGATGTGGCAGCTGTCAGGAAGAGATTTATTGAGGTTTGCTTTAAACGTCTAAACAATATCAGTCATAGTTTTCAGTTCCTTGGTGATGCAGTTTTCAATGTTGGTATTCTAAATTCGGCTCAAGCTGCTTCAAAATCTGGAAATCATGTTTTCTTGTATTCATTCGATTATTGTAACCCGGATGGCTATGGTCCTCTAGGTAATCTTCTTGATTTTAAAGCATCCAGCCATGGAAACGATTTTCGATACATATTCGGGAGCGGTGGATATGATACGTTTGTACCAACTGAAAACGATTTTCAAATGATGGAAAGTATGGCAACTTGGTTTTCCAATTTTTCCAATTACGGGTTAGTGGCTAGGTATTAACAATGCTCAACCCAAAATTTGGTTTTTAGGAATCCAAATGGGAATGATGTCGTCGGAAAGTGGAAAAACTATACCATCGAATTGCCTGGATATTATTTCAAAATTGATTATCTAACAAGCCGAATAGAAGATGATATTTTGAATAATCGATTGAAAAAGTTGAGGACAATTGGAAGAAAGAAAATTTCGATTTAACTGACATATATTGTTGTATAGAAATACAGATATTTTCAAAATAAATGTTCCTCCAGCTTTTGTACTAAACATACATTCCTCTGCTATCAACTGATATCAATGCTCAAAAAACAAATTTTTGAACATTTTGATTTCTATTAATCCTTCACTCACACTGTCTGAGTGGAACAGTTTTCGTTCCGGGTGGTGGAAAATCATTTGACTTATAATCTTATTTGTGCAGCTTATTGACTTTGATATAAAACCGAATCTCGGTGTTTCTTTGATCACTTTTCTCCGATTAACACGTTCTTGATTGGATGTCAACAGTCTATCACTTTAAAAACGATTCTTGAGCATCTATTCTTCTTATTCTTCCACTATATAAGTCTAGAAATTATTTTTTCTCATTTTGATCTTCTCCAATAGCGGGAACCTTCAGTCAGATCGATTATTCTTTTTCGATGAAAAAGTTCTTGAAGCCTTTTTATATTTCAGAATGGGTGGCCACTTGTCACACCTGAAGCGTGAAAGGAATCAGGAGGTGTTCAATTCCCCTTGCGGTCCCATCAGAGGAAATATCTATAGACATGTAAGTTTTTCAGTTTTTAAAAATGATATGATCTTCCTATGGCTATTCAGGGAGACAAAATCGTGAATGGATACCTTGGAATCCCATACGCAGCACCTCCGATTGGAGATTTGAGATTCAAGAAACCAGAACCAGCTGACAACTGGAATGAAATCAAGGATTGTACTGAATATGGTCCAAGAAGTCCGCAATCTGGTCCATTCGCCGAATCGATACGTTTCGAAAAAGAAGACGTTGCTGATGAGGCGAACTGTCTCACTCTTAATGTATTTGCTCCAACATGGGAATCTGAAGAATTCGTGAGATATTTTTTGCAATTGCTTTCCAAAAGATTTTGGATTTCAGAAAGAAAAACGTCCTGTGATGGTGTACATTCATGGAGGTGGTTTCGAATGCTCTGCGTCCAGAGACTACTGTGATTACTCGCTGTCGGGAACCCTTCCCCTTAAAGATGTTATCGTGGTCACAATGAATTATCGAATTGGGATTCTGGGATTCTTCACGACAGGAGATAACATTTTTCCCGGAAATTTCGCTTTATGGGATCTGACATTAGGTTTGAAATGGATTCAAAAACATATTTCTGCTTTCGGAGGAGATCCTGATAATGTGACGATTCTTGGACAAAGTGCAGGTGCCGCACTGGTGGATATTCTATCGCTGAGTCCACATTCGAGAGGTTAGAAGATTAAAAAAAAGTGATTACAATGTTGGAATTTCTTCAGATTTGTTCCAACGGGTTATCGTTATGTCTGGTGGTGCTCTCTGTGAATACGCAGTTCGAACAGCTGAAAGTGAAGGAGACGTATGTAAGCAGTTTGCTCGTCATCTTGGATTCACTGGAAATGATTCTCAAAGTCTGTTAGATTGGATTCAAGCCCAACCAATTGAGGAAATTATAAAAATGAAGGGGTTTGAAGTTCCAGCATCTGGAATTCTAGCTTACACTCCAAACCTTGATGGTGATTTCCTACCGAAACCGTTGGATGAGTTGAGAAAAGAATCTCCAAAGAAGGACATTATGCTCGGATTCACCGAACATGAAGGATTATTTTTCGAATTTCTGCTCCGAGATCCAACTCCACCGCTGGAAGCTTTGAGAAGAAATATCAACACATTTTATAAGGAGGATTCTGGAGCGAATTTCGACGATGTTCGAAAGAAGATGTTTGATTTTTATACTCGCGGCGTTGAACAATCAAACGAGAAGAAATTGAAAGAGCGCATTGTTGAGGTGAGAGTTGAAGCTCCATTTAAAAAGTTCCTCTTTAATTTTCAGTTATTCGCTGATGCTCTATTCACTGCGGGAATATTTGAGAACGCTCAAAATTGTGCGAATTACGGAAATGACGTCTGGTTGTACGTTTTCGACTACAGTGAACCTTCAGGATTCGGTCCCCAAAGAGAGTTTGCGTCTTTTGTCGGAGCGACTCATGCCACAGATTTGAGATATATTCTGGGAGAAGGATTTTACAGTGAATTCAAACCAACAGATGATGAGATCAAGATGATTGATAAAATTACTGAAATCTATTCGAATTTTGGAAAATATGGGTAATCATTTTCTTATGTTCAAGGACAATTTAACCACTTTTTTCAGAAATCCAAATGAAACTGGATCACAAGAATGGGAACGATACAATCCGGAACACCAACGGAGACATTATCGAATTAGTTATCCACGTGGCAATATGAGAGATGAGTATTGTCCGGAAAGAATGGAATACCTGAAAGAAGTGAGAAAGAACAACAAGAATCTGGAAACCGTGGTTTATGGAAGATCCTAATTGACTTGTTAAATTCAACACCAACAATTCAACACCAACTTTTGTATTTTGTACTTTTCAATAAATTTGTTACGATTCTGACAGTAAACCTCAACAAACAACGTTCCAATTTTTCAAAGAAACCACTCAAAAACCACGAGACAGACCTCCACTACCGCTGATGTATTAGTCCAACACAAATAGGTTTTGGTAGAGAAAATCCAGACGATTTTTTTTGTTGATTTGTTCACCTCGTTAGTGTTCCAGTCCCTCCCTGTTCGGTTTCAATATAAAAGGAGACTTGTACTAATAGGATAAAACAGAAATGGGTGGCCATCTCTCACATCTCAAACCGGAACACCATTCGAATGTATTCTTCGCATCGTGTGGTCCGGTTCGTGGAAATTTTTATCGACATGTAGGTTTTTTGGTTCTGAACTTTTCTATTTTTGTCATTTAGGGGGAGAAATGAAAGGACGGATTTTTAGGCATCCCGTATGCCAAACCACCAATAGGAGAGTTGAGATTTAGGAAACCAGTTTTGGTAGATGTCTGGTCGGAACCCAGAGATTGCTTTGAATATGGTCCACGATGTCCGTCTTCTGGAATGTTTTATGAAAAGATCGATCTTAAAAATCAAGACGTGCCGGATGAAGCGAACTGTTTGACGTTGAATGTGTTTCGTCCAAGATGGCAATGTAAAGAATATGTAATAAGCTCGAACAGTTATAGTAGGGGACAACCAATTTTTCAGATCAAGAGACCTGTCATGGTATTCATTCATGGTGGAGGTTTCGAACTTTGTGCTTCTCGAGATTATTGTGACTACTCGTTGACAGGAACTTTACCTCTAAAAGATGTTTTGGTAGTAACCATAAACTATCGTCTTGGAGCACTCGGTTTTTTCTCCACAGGAGACGAAACTTGTCCGGGAAACTTTGGTTTATGGGACCAAACACTTGCTCTGAAGTGGGTCCAAAAACACATCGCATCGTTTGGAGGAGATCCTAATAATGTGACAATATTTGGACAGAGTGCCGGAGGTGTAAGCGTGGATCTTCTATCCTTAAGTCCACATTCCAGAGGTACTTTCAGAAGTTAGATTTAAAAAAAACATGAATAATTCAGACCTATTCCATAAATTCTTACCAATGTCCGGCAGTGCTCATGTTCCATTTGCAATCAGAACCGCCAGATACCAGCTTGAGGTATCACTGGAATACGCTCGGAACAAAGGATTCACTGGATCAGGTACTCGCTTCTTTCACAATGAACATTAAATTTGAACTTTAGGATCAACAGAGTTGTTCGAGTTTATGAAAAACTTGCCAGTGGAGAAACTTCTGGAAAGGTCAGGTTTTGAGCATTCGGCATCTGGAATGGTCTCTTTTGGACCAAACCTTGATTATGACTTCTTTCCCAAACCACTGGAAGAATTGAGAATTGAAGCATCAAATAAGCCAGTGATGATTGGAATGGCAGAGCATGAGGGATTGCTTTTTGGTTTAGCTCTCTACACAGATTTTTTTGTTAAAGTTACTTTTCAGCATTTACCGATCCTCATTTTACAACTGCCGATGAAGTACTAAAGAGAAAGATAGCGGCGGAATTCAAAGAAGATGTGGTTGATAATCCAGAAAAAATCCGTCGAGATATTTTCGAATATTACATGAACTTTAATAGAGATTCAGATGAGAAGAAGCTCGTTGCGGTTAGTACTAATATCACAAAATCCTATGAATACTAAGTTTTTTAGTACACTGGGGATTCGATATTCAACGCAGGAGTTATCCTTGCTGCTAAAAGTTTGGCAACCCATGGAAACACTGTATTTTTTATGTATTTGACTACTGCAATCCAGACGATTTCGGACCAATTGGAGGCATACTACCGTTCAGAGGTATCTTTGAAAAAACGAGAAAATGTTAAAACTTTTCTGGTTTTCAGTTCCAACTCATTGTACTGAACTTCGGTACATTGTCGGAGAAGGTGTATACAGTAAGTTTGAGCCAAACGAAACTGATTTAAAGATGATGGAGTATATGACCACTATGTTCTCCAATTTCGCCAAATATGGGTACGGAGCAGAATTTTGGATGAAAAACAAATTATATTAGTTTTTTTTTTAGGAATCCCAACATATCTGGTTCAACCAAATGGGAGAGTTTCAGAGCCAGTGATAACCACAAACATTTCTACATAACGTATCCTGAAAGTGAAATGAGAGAACAATTTCATGGAGGTCGATGTCAATTTTTGGAGGAAATGAACAATCAAAACAACAGTTACCAAGAGATTTTTTTTGGAAAAAACAACTGATTTTCTTTTCGATTTCTATCTGTTTCTTTTCTAATTTTGTGACCGACATTGTGTGTCAATAAACCACAAAGAGGCGGGGCGATTTGAAAATAGCATTTGATCAGACAACTATTACACAATGTTTGGCAACGAGGAGAGGGTATTTAGTATATGTATATAAATCGGCTTTATTTTGTTGGGAGACAGAAGTTAAAGGGTTTTGTTGTTCTCTGATTTTTTATAGAAATAGTTGCTCACTTGGTTTCTTTTTTCAACTCTTCAAATAACAATTTTAGCAGAATGGGTGGATATCTGTCCCATCTTGAAGCCGAACCTCTTCCAAATGTTCTCGACGCATCATGCGGTCCAATAAAGGGAAATTCATACCGCCATGTAAGCTACTATTCTCAAATAAAAATCTCAAAATCTTTTTTTCAGGGAGACAAAACTGTGAATGGATACCTTGGAATCCCCTACGCACAACCTCCAATCGGACCACTTCGTTTTTCGAAACCACTTCCAGCCGATATTTGGACGGATACCAGAGATTGTACTCAATATGGTCCAAGATGTCCGCCATCCGGATTTGGCCATGAAAAAGGACTTTTGGTCACACCAGATGTGCCGGATGAGGCAAACTGTTTGTCTCTGAATGTTTTTATTCCTGGATGTGAATCCGAAGAATACGTTAGTTTCTGTGTACTGGATTTGAATTCGGAGACAAATCATTTCAGAAAGACAAACGGCCAGTGATGGTTTATGTTCATGGAGGCGGGTTCGAAGTTTCTTCTTCCAGAGAGTTTTGTGCTTATTCGATGTCAAGGTTGGTGTAACTCTAAAGTGTATTTAATATATCATGTTTCAGCACCCTCCCACTAAAAGATGTGATACTGGTCACCATGAACTATCGTCTCGGGATTCTTGGGTTCTTCACGACTGGAGACGCTGTTTGTCCAGGAAACTGGGGGTTATGGGACCAAACTCTGGCATTGAAATGGGTTAAAGAACACATCGCATCGTTTGGCGGTGATCCAAATAATGTGACTCTTTTCGGACAGAGTGCTGGAGGTGCTTGTGTTGATCTTCTAACGCTGAGTCCACATTCGAGAGGTAACCGGAAACATAGGTTTTTTAAATTCATTTTACAAAAGGAATTATTCAGATTTATTCCAAAAGATTGTTCCAATGTCTGGATCAGCATTGTGCGAGTTTGCAATGCGGCCTGCGAAAAATCAAGCAGGCGTGTTTGATGATATGCTGCCAAGACTTGGATTCACTGGATCAGGATCGAAAGAAAAACTAGAGTTCATGAGAAGCCTTTCATGGGAAAAGCTGACTGGAAAAACTGGTTTCACATACAAGCAATCTGGGTGGATGAGCATGACACCTAATTACGACGGAGATTTCTTCCCAAAACCTTTGGATGAACTCAGAAAAGATGCATCCAAGAGGATAATGATGACGGGAATAGCTGGAAACGAAGGAATACTTTTTGGTAATTGTTAATCCAGAAATTCCGAATACAAGGATATATTTCCAGCATTCACCCAACTATCAGAACCCCACAGCAACTACTCAGAACTTCTCAAAAACTGGATCGCTTTAGACTATAAAGAAGACAATATGGACAACTTGGAAAGTGTTAGGAAGGAAATTTTTGAATACTACACTAAAAATATTCCAAAGGATGAAGATACTATGATGCGAAGAACTGCAGAGTATGTGGGTGATTCTCTATTCCATACGGGTCAGCTGGCAACAGCTGAAAGCGCAGCAAAGTATGGAGATGATGTATGGTTCTACAAATTTGATTTTTGTAATCCAAATGGTTTTGGTGCTGTGAAAGATGCTCTACCGTATGTTGGTAGGTTTGAGAAGCACTGTTTAAATCAATGGATAGTTTTATTCCAGCCCCAACTCATGGAATCGAACTTCGCTATCTGTTCGGAGATGGTATCTTCAGCAAATTCGAACCAACTGAAGAGGAATTGAAAATGTTGGATAGATTTACAACCATGTTTGCAAACTTTGCCAAATACGGAAATCCAAATGAAACCGGTTCATCAAAATGGGAAAAATATGATCCAAGTCGTCCTGGAAGACATTTCCGGATCAGCTATCCAGACTGCGAAATGGTCGACGAGTACTGTGGAGGAAATTGGAAGTTTTTGGAAGAGATCAGAAAGAAGAATAAGTGCTTCCAAGCAAATGTGTATGGAAAGAAGATTTAATAGCTCTGAAATCTTTTTTTCTAATTGTATAAACCAAAAATGATTGTATATATTTTTATTCTGGACTTTTTATATAATAAAATAAGTAAATTCAAAGAAAAGAAAGGATAAAAAAGAAGAAGGGGGACGGTCCAGTTTCCGAAGAAACCACCATGACTAGAGAGATCACATAGTACAGCATAGAGAAATTAGAATGGTAAAGGATTATAAGAGGGTATGAGAGGAATGTGACAATTGACTAGAATCACTTTCAGCATTAAATGACAAGAAAAAAAAGAAAAAATGACTAGAATAACTTTCAACAAAAATGGAATGTTAACGAAGTACGGAAAAATGCATAAACTGCGGTAAAATAATACTGCGAAATGACGCAAAAAGAAAAGAAGGGACTTTTATGGCAGACTAGAATTCACTCAGCAAAAGGGATCTGTGACAAGATCAAAAAAGTATTGGAAAAAAGAGATCAATGGGAAAGCCAATGGAAAGAAAGTAAACGAGGTCAACTCGGGAGATACGTGGGATACTGTTGATAACGGTTGACCGGGCGAAATGACTAGAATGGAAGAGGATAAACACGGTATTACATGGTGGGGATGACTCTTGAGAGAAGATCTTGAAGTGGAGATCGTTGACATGTGGTTGCGTGGAGTTTGAGCATCTTCTTCGATGGGAAAGAGTTGAAGCAGGTGGTACAGGAGACGATGGTTGGAGAAGACTGTGACGGTGGAGAAGTGGATCCAAATTCATTACGAGGTTTGTGCCAACGACGGTGCGATGCCAAATTGGCCGGACACGAGAACACCTGCAAAAACCATCGTTTGTTTGGAAAGCGGAAGTCGAAGAAGAAGCGTGGGTGCCAGCTGGTTGGTAGTGAAAAGAAGCCGTCACTCAGCAGGGGGTGTCGATAAACATGAGAAAACAAGGAAAACCGACTCGCCAAAGAGCACAGGATTACGATTGTGTTGTCAAGTGGACCCCCCCCCCCCCCCCACCCCTCCTCGGATTAAGACGTTTGTATACGTTTGAGGCATGGTACAAGGGGAGTCCGTAAGTGATATTTGTCAGATGGTTTCTTAGACAGGTGCAAAAAGGTTAAGTACAATACTACTGTTACAAGATCACTGGGAGCCTAACTGGGTCTATACATGGATAGAGTTCAGAATCTGAGTTTCATCTATAATCTCATTAATTCCCTCGTATTAATGAGTATCCCCTAATTATCCAAAAAACAAACCTTGTCACAATCGGGACATTTGTATTCCTCATGCGCAATTCTTGGACATTTGTGTTGTGCCAGCTTGAACACATCATCGTATTTCACCTTGCACAGCCGGCAGATACAGTCTCCGATGACATTCGGAATCTCATCGATCTTTTGTCTTGACTCTTCAGTCACCTGGAATGAAAACAATATACAATTAAAGAACAAGGTACATGAAGCCTCTATTGACAGCCGGAACATTTTCCACCAATTTGTGGTACCTCCCTCTATTCAAACGAACCTCAACATATGCTGCTGTCTCATCCAACATATCAGCTTCCTTCTGGAGCTCCTCCACGGATTTCACATCACCCTCCTCCTGAAATCAAAAAATAAAATTAATCCTATTCGGTGTCATTAGCCATAAATCAAGACGACGCTTCATGAGACGGTTGTCACAAAATGCCGCAAGAAGAATACAAAAGTGACAGACGGTCGCCAGTCAGCGGGTGGTAATTAACCCGTTGAAGCTTTTGCTCCTTCTTCCTTTTTTCTGCGCCGCACCGCGTTCCGCCGTCTGTGCTTTTCTTTCAAAAGCTCTCATATGCTAATCACGTCTAATTAGGAAAAATCGGCGCGGAGCAATTCATAAAAAGCGAGAAGAAGCTTAAAAGAAACCGATCATTGTGAGCGGAGCCCTTACCTTTATGAACATTCCGCTCACTGGAGAATTGGTAACGGTATCCTCATTGAGCTTCCGAATCTTGGATTTCTTTGGTTCTGGAGCCATTTGACGTTTACGAGATAGTGTTGACAGATCTTTCATGGGTTCCGAGAACAACTGAAAACTTATTAACAATTGAAGAGATCATTCGCTAGATACTACATCCAAGATGGTTGAGAATCCCAACTGGATTACTGTATTCGAGAACCCTACTCACCGTCGGCGTACAAAACTTCGAGCTGAACTGAAGTTGCTGCTGCTGGATTTGATACAAAGCTAACATCTGTTGAACCAGAGACGGATTCCAGAACATTGGCAATGGTTGGAAAGAAGTTTGTGTTGAGCAATCGAAATCGAATCCTTTGTCCAAGTTCTCATCATTGGAGACTGTTGATGTTGTTGATGGAACTGGACTGGGATTTGTTGATGATAGTATTGCTTTGACCCAAAAGTCGCCTACAGGCACCATGGCCCTCTGAAAAGAAGAAATGTGGAGCTGCACCAAAAAAGAAATTCAGAAGAGTTGGGTTACGGTAGAAAAGGAAAATGAGAAACCATCTCGTAGCCTCAATTGACCGTGGCACGTACACACTAACCTCCTTTTATATGAGAAGGCACCAGGCTGGCAGCTGCTGCTGCTGCTCCCGAGTCTCCGCCCCGAAGACACCTTCAATGGAAGAGGGGAGGAGGGACTGGAGAGGGGAGCGAGCAATTAACATAGAAATTGGGTCGAGATTTTTGTTTTGGGTACGGAAATCCGAAGATGTCCAGTGACAGGCGATTGATCAGAAGTGGGACATCATTTTTGAATGAAGCGAAAGGAAATTGAGTTTTTTGAGAATGGGTGGTTCGATTGAAGAAATTGATGGATGAGAGAGCATCTCGAGAAACGACGACATCATTTTTCATTTGCAGAAGGGGATTTTGGTTAGGAACGAGATTAATTTTCTGCGAGCATCGAGTACAAGGATTCTCGTTGAATATGTAGGAGTTCGTGATTACGAAATAGATTCATTCTCTAATCGAAGGTTATGAAGGAAAGGCACCACAGGCTCTACATAAATAGCGAAATCGCGACTTTGGGTTACATGTTTTTGGTTTGGGTCTGGAATAAGCGGAGTTTAGGCAGACTTCATAGAAATGATGAATGATAAGAAATATATCGATGGATCGCGAATATCGAGGAGAGCCATCGTCTGGAGTTTCTGTGGTCGTCGGCGATGGGAAGACATTATTGGAATCTGAAATGATTCAGGATTTAGAGACTGTATAGAAGCTGGAGAATTCGATTCCCTATCTTGATCTCTGAGAGACAATATGTCCCGTAAGCGAATAGTATTTTATGGCTCATAGGCTAAAAGGAATCAGACTAAAAGCAGTAGAACTTATTACTATGGGAAATCGAGTAAAAATGGACTTTCAGACTCTTACCATGGATTAATAATTCATTAGAATTTTGCCCCGAAATAGCAGGAGTGCAGTACAAAAATTTTTAGAATCAACAGAATTTCAAGAGCTACAATATTTCATTTTTATTTAAGAGTGACGTCCTCTTAAAGTGTAGCTTGTCACGATCCTCAGAACTAAGAAAGATGCTCAAAAACTGAACAAAGCAGAATTCAATCTTAAGAGATTCATCTTTTACAGGAGTTCAAAAACATTTTCGCATCAGTCTTCGCCGTTTTTCCGCAAAGGGATTTTTTAAAATTTAGACAGATATCAGCTTCAAAAAAAAATAAGATATTTGAATGATTAAATTGTACTTGAATGATTAAAGTTCAGCTAATGCGGTTACAGTATACTAGTCTACCAGAGATGGCCTCTATGACAACAAAGAAGTATCGAAAATATAGATTCTCGGTCTCCACCAGGGAAGACCATCCTGAAATCTTATTTTCCTTGTACAGTATAACATTTATTTCTACCCATAATTTTACTCCTTCAACCACTACCTTCAGAATGGTAAACCAGGTGTCTCTATCTATTCGCCTAATTGATGAACAATATGTGTTACGGAACACTTGTGTAATTTCCCCCGTAATACGAAGGCGTCAATTATAGAGACATTCAATTCACCTCATCACACTTCTTCTCCCCTTTCAATCGTTTCCCAAATTGTTTACCACTTGTTGCAAGCTCTTTCTGTCTCTTTCCGAGAGTCAATCCCTTTCCTCCGACTTTGTCTGTATTGGGTGGCAACCCTGCTTCTTCTTGTTTCTGCGGGGCAGGTGTCTCCTGGTGTCTCTCTTGGGACGAACCGGCCATGTTTGGAAGTGCTTATGATGACCAAGAAGACGAAGAAGAGCATAAATTACAAAGTGAAGAGTCCATTAGGAACACGGCGCCGCTTGGATGGGACGACGATGACACCGAACGTGACGGTGCCAGGCGCGCGTTCGGGTGTTCCGAGGAGTCACCATGACGATTTTCGGGAAACGGGAGGAGCTGTGGGAAATGGAAATTTTGGTTTTATGGGCGGGTTAGATGCTCCATTTGAGAAAATGAATCGAAAAAAACTGGGGATTGAAACATGGGAATGGGGAGTCCGAGCCAACTTTGGTCCGGTTGAGATCCGGGTGGGTCATCAGTCTTACAAACCAAGAGCTCATCAAGATCCAGTTTACATATGATAAATGTGTTCTGTCATCGAAAATGATACCATTGTTCTGATCTGTATAGCTGCTCTGAAGTATAATTTGATCAATAGAATTTTGGAATTCTCGTAGCCGTCACCTGAAATTTTTCTACATTTCCATCGCCATTCATTTACCGTCTGTCAGCTGCCAATGCTGCCTCCTGCCATCCTCTCTCTATGCCCAATTAGTCGCATGTTGATGAATACCTAAGAGATAATCAATCAGTCTGCATGTCCGTGCCCTTGCAGCAGGCCCACCACAGACCATCTGTACATTCCCTCGACAAATACCCATATCATTTCGATTTGCATATACTGTATACTACTTGCATCTGTCGCTGGTGTCTGTCGTCACAAGGATAACAAATCGCCTGTATAGATGTGGCATCCTCCTCCTTCGAAATCAACACCTGTTCGAGACTCGGTAACGTGCCAATTAGCACGAAAAAGAAGAAAAGTATGGGTATCCGGAATAGGGCGCAGATGCTTGCTGATGCTCCGGTCGAATCGGGTCAATCCCCCATCCAATTACTGTAAGCCCATGGGGGATCAGAAGAAGAGGTAGCTCGATGTGTCAAGTGTGGAAGCGAAGACATAAACAACAAACTGCAACGATTTTGATTTCGAATGCATTTAAGAGCACGGAGAGCACCGAAATGAAGTGTCAATCAAAAATCCTCCGGAAGGAGATGGCTGAAGGTGTGTTTGTGAATTGAAGAGCTTCGGGGACCTGCTGCCACACATTCACATGCGTACCCGGGAGACAAACAATGAATAATAGATGACGAAATGGGACCGAGATATATGGGTGACATGTTCTAGCTTATAATATTGTTACACGCTTCAACCTGTCCGGTAAGCATCACCTTATGTTGACAGAATTTCCACAAAACACACATTTCAATGAATTTCGATCCGATCTCGAGACTCGGGGGATTCTCAGTTTTGATGATTCTTCGTGTTTTCTAGGATTTCAACCTCTAGTAAAATAAAAGACTTTTATTTAACTACATAAAATCTAATGATTCACACTAATGGTCATTGTTCAGATTGACACGAATTTCATGACCCGAAATTGGATTACTATTTGAAATAAAGTTCTGAAAGAGTGTTGATACTTGTTCGCAATTAGTCGGGCAACGGATTAAAGGGACAGTGCCTCGTCGCGCACTTTTCTTTTCGTTTCGCATCTGTCCCGAGCTGTCACCAAAATCCTTGGAATGGAACGTCGGGGTAGGGATTCTTGATGGTTGAATGGAACGGACCTAAACGGAAGGAAAACAGCTGGAAAGGATAAGAATGACCGGGTCATTGGAAGCCACCTGCTCGCCTTGTAGTGCACAGTGCGCGAAACTGAATGCCCTTCCATGGTCTAATTATCCCCAATTGTTTGCCTCGCTCGTGGTGGCTGGTGCCTGAATGTGTTGGTATTATGGGGGAGGTGAGGTAATTAAGTGGACAAGGGATAAGTGGTCATGTTATGGGTCAAATACACGAGACTGATACTTATTGAAGGATGGCAGGTGTTCGTGGGTTGACCGGCCAAATTGGGTCAGATGGAAATCGAGATAATTTCTGAATCCGTTTTTCAGGGAGTTATTTTATTTGTGACTTCAGACTTTATTTCCATTTAACGCATTTCATCAGCTGACGGTGGATCCTGGACTTCTGAAACCTTTTTTTTTACCACCGAAGGCTTCTTTAAAATCAGACTTATCAGAATCATGATTATTTTAGTTACTTCAATTCTAAATGAATCATCTAACTGTAAGGCAGACGTCACTATTATTCAAAATCTCGAATAACTCAACGATGTCTTGGTGGATATTCGTTTTCATCGAAATGGCCCGAAATTTTACGAGCGCGTATTTCCTGTGCTTTGGCGCATTTCGAAAGAAAGTGACAGTTTGTTGGTGCCAGTGTGTCCGAATGGATAAATGAAGGGAAATAGTAGAGGAGGGAAGAATAAAAAGAAAAAAAAAGAAGACATGCAAATATCATGGTATGGTGAATTGAGGCGAGAAGAAGAAGGACCGGAGTCGAAAAGCAGATGTTTTAGTGGCCGAACGGGCAGATGGACTCGTTTATGCCTCAAGAGAGATGTGCTCAAACCAATAATGTGTTCATTGCGAAAAAGGAAGAAAAAGGGGGAGACAACAACAAAATAAGGCAGTGGATACTCGTAATCAGTTGGAGTACAAGAGAAAGGGAAGAGTCTGGATATAGGACTCTATGGTCGGAAAATGCAGTCATATAATGACCAGGATTGTGGAATTGTGAAGGTAATGAAAAATCTAGACTTCTTCTTTATCAGGATTGACTTCATATTTGATAGTCTTCTCATCGGCATCTGCCATTGTGTATTCGGCAGGCTTATCGGTAAAAACACAGAGAGCCAGAGTGTTGGCCTGTAATCCAGATATAACGCTACCAAAATTTTTAAATAAACACTTACCGTAACCATCACACCTCCAAGAATACACAAAACAATTCTCCATTGTACTGGGCTGTCTTCATTCTTAACAATGGCAGCAACCAGTGCTGGTCCTGTGATCAATGCCACTGATTTCATCCATTGAATTGTTGAAATGACGACATGGGCAAACTGTCTGGAAAATTACACAATGAATGAGTGAAAAGGGAATTCAGATCTATGTAGAAATACCTTGTATGAAGAGTTGCGCACTTGTAGAATCCAGCACAATTCAGTGATAAGCATGAGAAGATGATAGAGAAGAGAACCACAGAAACGTAATGATAGGATTGTGGAATGAAACTGAGAAGACCGATCAGAATTCCAACTAATCCTACGGAAATCGTATTAAAGAAGAGCATTTTGGAACGTTCCGAGAAACATCTGAATTAGATATTGGTGTTCCTGAGCCTTCAAATATTCTAAACTCACTTTGCTTTATCACTGATAACTCCACCAACCAGTTTCAATGGTAGAGGAAAGAACACAGATAGTGCAAGAAGGAATCCAGTTTCTGCGACACTGAACTTCAGAATTCTATTGAAAAATATTGGTGCGTAGGTGTGCAAGAAGACAATGATTGACATTTCAGCGAACGCATTCAACCAGACACAAAGAACGACTGGTGATGTGAGAAGTTTCTGAAAATTTGGGTTGAGAGTCGGTTGATTTAAAAAAAAACTATTTACTTTATATGGAACTTCTACATTTTTGGTATCCAAGTGCTTCTCAGACTTGTTCTTCTGAATTTTTCTCAGCTCTGTTGGAGACACTCTGCTGGATTTTTGTGGGTTATCAGTATATACAATAGCCCATAAAATGAAAAATACTAGCCCCAAAGCTGCATGAGCATAGAATGCCGTACGCCATCCAAAGCCTTCGCAAATCTGAAATTTATTTAATAAAGTTTAATTCGAAATTTCCGATTTACCGCTCCAGAGACAGCATTTGTTAGAACTGACGAGAAATTGGTGAATGAAGTGAGAGCTCCTAGAAATATAGCGGTTTCAGATAGTGGTGCCCATCGAACAGTTAGTAATCCGATCGCCGCAAAGTCTGCCGCAAATGCAAGACCCTAGAAGAAGATGGAGGTCAATCTGTGATGATAAAAGAAACTGAGAGACAAACCTGACATAATCTAGCAACAAGAAGTGCATGAAAAGAGGTTTGCGCGGCCAGGGGGATCAAAGTTGTAGCGATAACAGATATGATTCCGGCCATGAAGAATGTCCATCTGAAGGGGTTTCTTTAGCTTTGGTTCAAAGTGTTTTTTTTTTAATTTTTAATATGACAATTATTCTGATCCCAAAGAAAATTACCTTCCTCCAAACCGGACAAACACGTAGTTTACCGGAAAAGTGCCGATAATTGTACCCGCTGCCACAGCCCACATCAAGTATTTTTTTTCGTTTGGTGTATAATCGAATAAACTGACGGGAGAGGTCTGAAAAAAACTAAATGGATTGAAGAAGATCAAATCGAGATTCTCACCTCATTTCCATTTACACGAACATCGTCTCTTGTAAAACTCATGTCATTTTTCATACAGATGAATGTGAAATTCATGACGACATAGTTGGAACAAACGGATACGAGACATAAAAAACCAACAAGAACCACGAGGACTCGATACTTGTTCGAGAGCAAACCCATTGTTGTGAATATAAATCTGAATATTGGAATGTGGAATGAATGGATTTTACACTGTTTATATGTTGAAAAGAAAACTCATCGGAATCATATTATATGGAAAAGTGGGCGGGCGGGAATTTTGATGATGAGTCAGAAAAATGAAGAGAAAGAACAGATGGAGACTAAACATGGAAAAATAACAAAAATGGGAGTGAACGAACAGTTCAATAAGATCGTTTTGATGTTCGGAAAGTGCTCTGAGTTTGGGTAATAGTTAAGAAAGCAAGTTCGGTAGATTAGAAAACTTTCAAACATCAGAACACCAAAAAATCAGTTGAACAACGATCTTCTCAATATTTTTGTCATGACAACGGTTTGTAGGATCAACAGAACTACGATTCCGATAGAAAGCAAATTCAAAGGGAAACTCCCTCCAAAAATTTTTATTTCATTAGTTTACTCAAAAATTCCAAAAACTTTGAAAAGCAAATGTTGAATGTTTAAAAAACAAGGAGAATAGGGACGAGAACTTGAGTTCTTGCGCAGGGAGAAACCTAGGCCACGGCAAGTGGACGCCATTTTTAGTGGTAATTTCCAGGGTTTTTTCTGCTTTATCTCCGCTACATAAAAACCGTGAAAAACCACTGTTGGAACCGATATACCGTAAAACCTCTAATAGCAATTTTAATTAATTACGACAACTTGTGTTTTCTTCTTGGATGAATTCGAAGATTGCAAAAACATTCTTGAATAGAGTTTTATGATCACTAATCAGTAGAATATCAGCTGGAAGCTGGTAAAGACTGTAGTTCCGTCTCTTTCGAACTGCAACATATTGTCGGAACATCCAATTTTAAGAACACTTGTTGCATTGAAAAGTTCCTTATTGTTAGAAGCGGAAGTGACCAAGCCGAAAACATTCACAATGTGCCGAATTTCACACCTTTACCTAATTTTTG